CCCTCCCCGAACAGACAGAAAACACTTCAAGCCGCAAATCTTCCCACCGGAGTGTAGATTTGTGTCAGCAAGCACCATGATTTCCAGAACAGGCTCTCAGTAATAAAGGAAACCCAAACCTCAGCCCCCTGCCCTCAAGACAACCTCGAGGTTTTATTACTAGGATTACGTTTGTTTATAAAATCTGTTTTTCCAAAACGTTGAACCTGCACAAGCCTATCAGAGCTGACAGTGGCTGCGGGCTGAGCCCCTGGAAAAATCTGCCTTGTGCTTCACACCTCTCAGTGCTGTGCATGTTTGTACAGTCCGTGTTTCCGCTTCGGTAAGGTAAACAGCATGGTGCAAACAGACATGATTTACTGTTAGGGTTTTGGGTATTAGCTCACTGTTTTGGAACTTGACAGCTAAAGAAATGACTCCTCCCTGTTTGGCTTTTGCAAGCAGGATTGGAGTAGGTTGCCGAAGCTCCTCTTCTCGTCCGTCTCCAGCTCCCATCTTGAAGCACCTTTGTGGGAGTTGACTTTGCTCCCTCCTGCCCAGTTGCACGGCAGCATCCCGCAGCAGCACTTCTTGGAGCAGCTCGCGTACCTGCCAGGAACAGGACGATCGCTCCTGAGCCTCCCCAGCTCGACTGCCACACGTTCGGTGCCACCGCTGCTCACACCCTGGCGTTAAAACCCCTTCTTCAACAAAAGCAGCCAACGTGCCATCCTGCACCCTCCATCCACGAGGCACAGCCTTGCAGTTAAGGCAAAGATGGGACTTTGGTTTTGGGGTGCTGTGCCAGCCGCTCGGCACAGCACGCAGACCCCACAGCTCCAGCCTCTCCCGCCTCCCTTACACTCGCAGGGGCGAGGGGAGGCGACACCTCGACAGCCCAGCCCGGTTTACAGCCCCCAGCCGGTAACTGCAGCTCAGCATCGTTTACACCTTGTAAAACACAACACACAATTCCAGCCTGATTTCTTCCCCCACCCGTTGGACAGCGAGGGAGCACCCGGAGGCATTCGGGTCCAAGGCCCATCAGCCGCAGAGCCGGACATGGCACTGCCTAACCGGGACCAGGCTGCTCTGCCAGAAAACCCATCGTGGGGCTTGTTCTGCCCTGTCCTGCCTGCAAGCGGGTGGGGGCCATCGCGGCGGTCACAGCATAAAAATCTCGGGGACAGAGCACCAGAGGTGACACAGGATGCTCGGGGCGAGGGGTCCCACAGGGCTGGGGCCACCGGTGCACGCCATGTCCCACCAATTACACAGGCAAACTTGCACTAACCCTAGCTCTTCCAAACCTGCACAAGGACAGCACGACATCAGGTTTTGCAAATGTGTTAAAAGCACCATAAATAGATGCAGCCTGCCAGGCTGTTTTCTAAGACAACTCGAACGTTTCCTCCTGACAGATACAACATCAAGCCATTTGCCAGAGACCAGCGCGTAGAAAGTGCTTGTTTAAGCACTTATAAGTGCAAAGGGACACATTTGCATCAGCCAGAGGCAGCTCAGCTCGAGACCCCGGCAGCTCCCACTTTCAGCCTCTCATGTTACGCTTCGTGCAAACACTGCGGCACGGTGGTAGTGTTTTGCTAACTTCTTGAAAAGACAAAAGCTTTTCAGTCAGTGCATCTCCAAACCACAACATGTGCCAACAGTTTACTGCGCTGCCGGCGTACCACCTGCAGAGCTGCCGTGGGGAAACTCTCCCTCTGAGCTGCCGCTGCTCCTGCTGGAATCCCTCCTGGCAGCACCCTACGCTGGGCTCAGCTAAACCCCACACGCAACAGGGAGGGGGTGTAAAAAAAAAAAAAAAAAGAAAAAAAGTAAATACTAAAACCAACCCAGTTTAGCAAGAAACGGCAAGCCCCTGGCAAACCTAGCTTTTCAAGATCACCAGGAGTTGAGGCACACGGAGAAACTCGGAGCTCCCAGGGCCAGAAGACTTGCAAGAAAGGAGTGGAGACACGTACTGCCCTGGGACTCGCAGCTGGATGAGGCCGAAGCTCCAGGTTCATTTTGGGGCTGATGCTGTCCCCTCCCCACCACCCGCACATCGGTTCCTGTCCCTGTGCCCCAGATCTGCCCTGAGTAAGCTGGAGGGAAACATTTTAATGGCAGCAGCAAGAGGTCGCGAGGCTGACTTCAGCGGACAGACATTTAAAGCAAAGGCATGAAGGAAAACATAATAGGACCTACAGAAAAGGTCTGTCCATCTGGAGCAGCTCTCCTGCACCATGGACAGGGGCTGCATAGACGCACGGCCCCCCGGGCAGTCTGGCAGGGCAAGCAGGTCTTACCTGGGCCAATACAGGATCCTCCCAGGCCAAGAAATGCTCGAAGTGATGGCTTCGATGAGCTGCTCAGAACTGGGGAGATGCTGGGGAAGCCCCTGGGATCGGCCCCCCTCTGCTGCCAGCAGCGGGGGTCCCACACGAGCAGCCGGACACAGCCCCAGGGTCTGGTGCAGCACTCCAAACCCTTTGGCACGGGAGTGAGCTTTGGACCAGGTTCAGGCTGAATTTCACCCAAATGTAGATTGAAAATACCTCTGGGTGCTCCTGCAGGTGTGGAGAGGAAAGCCTATTGCATCCCATCCATCCCATTAAACCCAGCGTTAGGTGAGAGCCGGGGCTGAAGATGCAGTTTGAGCAAAGGAGCCCCCCATAACCGGGGGGGCATCAGGGCACCCCCTCCAGCTGACCCCAGCTGCTCCAAAACCTCCATCGCCTGCACCACAGCCCGGCTGCAGCTGACTCGCATTACGGGGTGCACGTCCCACCCCACACTTCTGTATCCCCAAAAGGCCCAGAGGCACCTGGGGCACCAGCACCCTTTCCAGAAGGGGAGGAAAGGCTGGGAAGGTCCTGCTTCTACCCTCCCCACACTCCCAGCCCCAGCACTTACTGCCCCATCCCAGGACGTGCCAGGGCAGAACCGCCAGCCGCTTCGCCCCAGGGATCTTGTGCAGTTCCAAGGTACCCAGGCGCCGCAGGCGAAGCAAAAACCTGCAGCCAGGTCAGTGGAGAGGTTTTGGCAGCTCTGGCAGCAGCAGCGCAAGGCTCGTTCAGCCTGTGCTGTCAAAAAAATGCAGCTCCATCAGCAGGAGTGAAAAGAAAAGTAACCCAGCTCCAAGTGTGAAATAATGAAACAAATAATCAGATAAAGCCCTTTGTATCACACGCTCGGAGCCTTCCTGCTCTGTGGTTTGGCAAAGCTCATGGGCAGCGCTCCTGTACTCCCACTTGCCCAGCGCCCAGCTCAGGGGCTGCAAACTCGCCCGGGGGGATGCTCGGGGTCCCCAGCCTGAGCCCCCCAAGGAAAAGCCCTGCATGTGGAAAGCAGAAAAGTGATCGTTTGGAGTCAAATGGCCCAACGGGACCCATCGAGTCCCTCTGCAGCCCCTGCTGCTGTACCTGCGCACCCCTGTGCTGCCCACCCCAGCAGCCCCTCCGCTGCTTCTTCACCCCTGGGAGGAGGAGGAGGAAGGCACCTGGGGATCTCACCACTTCCTCCTCTCCCACAGATGCTGCAGCCCAGCGCGGGGACGAGCAGCAGCAGCAGCTCCCAGCAGCCATAAACCCCAGCGCAGCACCCGCTGCACACCCCAGGGCTGCCATCACGGAGGTGACAGCGGGGACCAGGCAGGGCTGGTGGCAGCCCCAGTCCCACAGGTGCCCCAGCACCCGCAGCCGGGCCGCGATGCCGGATGCGCAGTTCCCCCTGCCGGCACCCAGGCGCAGCACCCACATCTCACGTCCCATGTCCCACGTCCCCAAAGCCCCAGCCCGGGAGGATGCACACATGCCAGGGAGGGAATCCTATTTGCAGCAGCCAGGACAGACCCGGCCACAAGATCTCGAATGACTGTCCCCAAGCAAAGGGATTCTGCAAGGACAGAAATGCTGCATCCCCAGAGAACAACTTGGGGGAGCTCAGCCTCCTTGCTGGAAAAAAGAGCAATTTCAAGACATCAGGAGAGCGGCCGCCCAGCCTGGAGCACCAGGGTGTTCCTTTGCAGCCACGCAAGCAAGGAGGAGAGACCAGGTGACGCCTTAAGTGTCTTTAATCCAAAGGACTGAAGAGCAGACTGGGAAGATTAGTATAAGCCAACAGACAAAAAAAAAAATAAAAGATAAAAACCGGTTTTTAAAACAAATTAAGTTTCCATACAGTGTCTAAAAGATCACCTAAAAACTAAACATTGCTTTAAAAAAATTTTTTTCCCATTCAAACACATTTAACACAGTGAAACATTGTGACAAATAATAATAATAATAATTCACGGACTAAAGACTTCAGAGCAGCCATCCTGCTCCTGGGAGCGGAGGATCGCTTCCAGTCCCTGGGGAGCCGGTGGCAGGAGCCAGGCAGGGGGGGCTGCA